TATACCCAGCTGAAACAAAAGGGAAGAGACCAGGGAAATGTTCTTGTACTGCTGCTAATACTACGTCTCTTTTCAGGAGATTGAACGCATTCTTGAAATCTAATTTTACCACTGCATTGTCCTCAGGCAGGTTGTTGATATACGCCCTTGTTGCATGAACCGCTGCTTCACTTCCTTGAGAGACCCCAAAGGCAAGCTGGTTTGGTTGAAGCATCATGGCTGCCTGTGCACGAATACTTCGGACAGCAGCTTTGGATACGAGGCGGCGTAACGTGTTGCCTACTGCAATTGGCCGAATTCCTCCATCCTTCTTTTTAAGTGCACAAAGTATTGCACCAAAAAAGAAAGGTCTAATTTCATCAGGAATCAGACCAGCCAAGGAATTGTTGACGAACCCTTGTGATCTCTGAAAGCAGTGTCTCTGCAGTTTCCCCAATAACTGGATTAACCATTTCCTTTAAATGCTGTGGCCTTATTCCAGTGTAACCCCAGCAGAGCCAGATGGGAACGACATTATTGCTTTGTAAATGTCTGAGTCTTCCACAATCAATGGTTCCATAGTGGGGACAGAGGTGTTGGAACTGTTGGTGCACTGGTTTCCCTGGCAGGGTGCTTTCCTCTAAGTGCTTCAGCCGTGTCAGCATCCCTGGGAGCAACTGTATCTTCACTGGTAATAATTCTGATTGCCCCCACTGTGTTGCCCTCTTCAATTTTCTTGCTCACTTGGACTCTGACTTTTTCACTGTCAGTAGAGTGAGTGGGGGTTCTGCCTCTCCCTTTTTTGTGTTGACGGGGAAGGCGAATGAGGTTATCAACTCTAGGAAAATCTCTTAAGGATTTAATTATCATTGAGGCTAGCCTCTTTCCCCTTCTTTCCGGCACAGCTAAGCAGACATTGCCAAAAAGTAGCAAGTTGTGCCAGGCCTTGATGGTTGGTGGAGCATTTAAGATAGTGGAACCATCGTTTACTTTTTTCAGGAGGTCTGTAAGTTTCCCAGCTGCGTGTGGACGGGCTGCTTTGGGAATATGTGAGAGTGTCCTCGTACCTGTTGCTTTAATTGCTTCCAAGAGATTGTCTGATGAGATGAAATCTGTTGGAGTGGGTTCAGGTGCCTGAGGTGGCTCTGGATCATCACTTTCCACAGGAGGACATCCTGAACCAGGGCAACTACCGTGTTTGCGGAGGAAACCATTAGAGTTGAGACAACGAAGCTGTAAGCATGACCGACACTTCCCTCTCCTAGTATTGCCAGCCGTGCCATTTATATATATATAAAATTTTCCTGACAGATATGCAAAGGTTACTGGAAGCTATATTGACACTCATGTAATCGATAAATTTAAACTCAGCCAACAAACCAATTATCTTTTGAAAAGATCCACACACCACACACACAACACACACACACACACACACCACACAACACACACACACACACACACCACACACACACACACACACACACACACAACACACCACACACCACACACATATATAATATATATATATATATATATATATATATAAATATATATATATGTATATATTTTATATTTATATATATAATTTACTAGAGAATTTTTTTTTTATCTTACTTGGTATGGATGCTGAAAAATCGTTTTAAAAGTTTTCCACTTAATACATCGCGAACAAATTCTATTAATTTCATTATTTTTTCAGGACGTGGTTGATGAGCTCGGCATGTCCATAAACGAGGATAATGAACCATCATATATTCTGTCTACAATTATTCTTTACGACAATTACAATTTTAATTCCTCTTGTTTTCAACGAATACATTGAAGGAATTACACTTCGCGAACAGGATCATGCAGCCTCTGATGACTGCTTTGTCACAGGCTGGGGCAGAAGGAGGAGACACTCCCAGTATCCTGCAGAAAGTACCTGTCCCTACTGTGACACGAAAGATGACTGCCCCCCTGACTATTCCCTGGATGATTTTACTGATGCCATGATCTGTGTTGGCGTTCCAGAGGGAGGGAAGAACTTGTGGCAGGGTGATTCTGGTGGATCTCTGGTATGTGATGATATAGAATCTCACTACATGGTTGGCATCGTGTCTTAGGGGTACGGTTGTTCGTGTCCCAACTACCCCAGTGTGTAGTTTAAGATCAAATGATGTTCACAATGTTCACAGTTGATTTGGTTGTAGAAATATTTGAAGTATTACAAAAGCCCTCTAACTCATCAGCCAGGCTTTGTAAAATGTGACATAAGCTTGATTTTACACTGACTATGGGGTCGACGCTTATAAAGAAATATAAACCATACCACGTGTGGTGTTTGAACCCGCGATCAGAGAATCTCAAAAATCCAGACCGTCGCGTTAGCCACTGGGCCAGATAGCTTCGATGAGACTCCTCCAACTAAATATTTTTCATGAATCTTGTTGAAGCTAGCTGGCCCAGTGGCAAACGCGACGGTCTGGAATTTTGAGACTCTGATCGCGGGTTCAAACCACACCCATGGTATGGTTTGTTTGCAATCGTATCGTTACGATTTCGTGAGTCAAAAAAATATAATTTGATTGTCCAGAAGTTGTATTATTTAACATCTCGCTTTTTTATTCATAATGAGTGAAAATTTTAGAATTTCTGATGAAGATTAAAGTCTAATAATGAGGGTGGGAAAATTGTGTAGAGGATATACGGGAAGATTGCTTAGTGGTCTTTATGGAAGAAAACACATATTGCGTGACAGCAAGTAAAAAAAATGCAACAGTGAAAAAATGAACAGGAAGACTTAATGCCTCCATGTGCTTGAACACATCTCTTCAGAGGAATAGCAAGAAGAGGCAAGAGAAGCACATTTTATGTGACTAAGTGAGGTTATACTTCAGTGAGCGGATAGACTGTAGAACTGCAGATGGTGGACAGTGACGGGGAAGTGCCGCAGAAGTGCCACAGAAGTACTGTCTCTGAAATCTTCCCACTAAAGTCTCGTAACTACATGTCATGACCTTGGTTTGAGTCTCCGTCCATTCTTTTCTTTTTTCAATGACAGTCGTTCTCTACGACTTAGCGTGAGTAATTTACGGACTATAAGGCTTTGAGGAATATGAAAATACATGCTCTATGAAACTTTCTGGGGCTGTGAGAAGAGACAGGAGGATCAAAGATGGTCACCACTAACACATCATTGAAGGGCTGTGTCTGAAATTTAATATTAAAGCCTTGTAGCTCAGTGGTACAGCACTGGACTTGCTGCAAGTCAGAACCACAGGTCGAGTTTCCTTCCATTCATCTGTTTATTCATTAACGCTTGTTTATTATAACTTATTTATTACATACATGAATAAACTGAAGAATGAACAGGATCTTGAACCGTGGACCTCGCACGTAGCGGGTCCAGTGCTGTTCATTAAGCTACTAGGCATAATAGGAAGATTTCGGAGACAACACTTCTTTGACGTGTTTGGATAAGCAGCCACCAGCCGTGACCCGACTCTTCCCATAACCACAGACACTTTCGTGGTACATCTATTCTTATACCACTCAAATCCACATAGTCCAACTCAAGATAATTCGAAAGGAACGAATTGTCTTGAATTTATGGACTCTATGTACTGTTTATGGGTAAGTTGCAGATCGTCTACTCTTCCTGCATCTTTCTCGCTGATGAAGTTCCTGAGACTATTAATCTTATCATCTCCATGCGTACTTAATAAGAAAGATGGAGGAATCATGCTGACAGTCGTTGGCAAGTCCAAACGCCGCCTTGTTGCCGATGCAGCCGTGGGAACAGTGGGCCTTGATGCAGCCATCGTACGGAGACTAATTCAGCTGGAGTCTGGGTTTCTACAAGGCTGTGAAGCAGCAGCCAATGCATCACGTGCATACAACACTAACCTCACATGGTAGAAATTTCTTATCAAACTGAACTTCGCAGTTAAAAGCGACATTGTACTCTGAACTATACAAGACCATTGCTTTGCACTTTATCTTTTTATTCACTCACACAACAACATTTGACTCGGAATTTCTCGTTGGAAAGCATGGAATTGACTCTCGTGAAGGTGTCCAGCAAGGACGCTCATTCGCTCCTTTCCTTTTCTGTTTAACTATGAAAATGGTCTCGGAGCTGAAAATGTGGCTTTAGGTTGACACTAAACTAGCAGGCACCGCAGAAGTTCTGCTAGAAGGTATCAGCATTGTCAATGAATGAACAAGGAAGGAATCAAGGCCAGTCCTTAAACCCCTCGAAATGTGAGCTAACACTATGACGCATTATGCTAAAGGTCTATTTATGATGATTTCAAACACGTAAATAGCTTTCCAAAAAAAAAAAATTATGGAGAGTAGGACAGCAGCTCAATTTTTATGTTTAGAGGAAAGCAATAAAACCACAGGGATTATACAGTGGCTGGGGAATGAGGAAGAGGAGGATAAGTCGCATTCATTAGATCAAGAGCACCTCACCAGTATCAAGGATGAGTAGTACGTCACATTAAAGCTCTTTTTAATTGATTTCAGAAGCACATACGGCTTCCAGAATGTTTATTTGTGCATCAGCGCCTTTCGTAGGCATTAGTTTAATAACATAATATTTACTGGAAACTGAAATTAAGATAGATATATCTCCTGATAGGATGGGTTTGGAGGTGAGTTTTCCATACCTGTCTCCTGACAGAGAGGGTGTGGAAGCTTGAGCCCCCGACACTTAACTTCTGTCATGGGAGGTATAAGTTCCCACACCTAAATCCTATCAGGGGGGCAAGCGTCCCCCCAACCCACGTGGAACATGAGTCTGAGGGCGTGAGTTCTCTATACCTACCTTCTGACAATCTGTGTGCAAGCTCCTGGAATTTCACTACTTTTTCACAGTGGTTGTTTTACATATTTGTATGTATATGTAAGAGAGAGAGGGAGATGGTGTGTGTGTGTGTGTGTGTGAGAGAGAGAGAGAGAGAGAGAGAGAGAGAAAGAAAAAATAACTGATAAGTTAAGGATCTGGTTGTGAGTATAAATGGTGGCGGGGAATATGACTCTTCTCCAGAGACCAGCCATGAAGACCTTCGTGTTCTGCCTTCTCCTCGCTGGAGCGCTCGGTGAGTTCCCTCTGTAAACACCGTCAGTGATGTCTAAACCTGCACTGCAATATGATCTCTATTTGTGGAAAAACCCGAGTTTTCCATGTAAGAATGTGTCTGAACGGGTGAGAGAGAGAGAGGTATATGAGCCTATATAGAGAGGCTAGCGATTATTGCTAGCAACAAAAATGTTCGTTATCCTTTTAAATTCTAGACCAAAAATAACTACTCATGGGAGAAGGAAAGTGAATAAAATTGGTACTTATTTAACATTTTTTTGAGAGAGTTGCAAATCCCATTCGAGGTCACACAGCTCCTGAGGACTGGGGGCGTGAGATCTTAGGGCGTGAATTCTCTATACTTACCTTCTGACAATCTGTGTGCAAGGTCATCGGTTTTCCCCTGTGTCCCCAACAAACGCTTCCGGTCAAGGCAGGTTCGATCCCCGGCTGGTCACATTCTCCTGTGAGCAGCCGGGGATCGAACCAGAGTTATTGAACCAGCCTCCCGGGAAGCTAGCTAAATTCTCGACGCCTTACTCACTACGCCACCATGCTTCAAACGTTAGACGTCCAGACACACTGGACATGTCACTCCTAATGCGAGCACATTCATGGCCGTGGATTGCTACGGGACTTCTAATAGGGATGCAATAGAAACAATATTTGTGAACCTGTTTCCGTCAGAGGCACCAGGTAAACACCTTCCCTACAGACAAGCAGCTTCAGCACTAAATCTGTTCTTACCTCCCTCAAAGCAAATCCCATTCGAGGTCGCACAGCTCCTGAGGACTGGGAAACTGGTGTGATCCAAGGATGGAGTGAGTTGCTCTATTTCGGTGATTTATGAGCTCATCGTCCGTCATCAAGACGCATCCAAACCCTCCCATAAAGGGTGTGTAAATCTAACATCCTGCATTCTTTTTTGTCCACAGCCGCTCCCTCACGTAAGCTGAGGTTTCGTTTAGGTAACAACTACAAGATCGTGGGAGGCACCGATGCTGAGCCTGGTGAGTTTCCTTACCAGCTGAGCTTGCAGGACATTAGTTGGGGTCTTGCATTTGATTTCTGTGGTGCCGCCCTCTACAAGGAGAACTGGGCCATTTCTTCTGGTCACTGTATCGAACACGATGACTTTGACAACCCAGATTATCTCCAAGTAAGTCATCTATATATGGGCATATTTTATAAAGCATTTATACATACTAATTAAAGTTTACAATAATTTATATGGACACATTATGTAAATAGGTTGCGACACATCGATCAGAGTTATCGCCTCTAGCATATACTGCAGACATTGGATGAAATTGGCATGTATTGAATCAGAATAACAACCATTCACCATTTGGCTAGTCTTCACAAAATCATCTTTCATGTGGTCAGTTTTTAAAGCCTTTTCTGAAGCAACTTGCGAAATCTGAATATTTTTCTTTGTTTATCGAGAATGTTTTATAAGTTATAAATTCCGTTCAACGGATTTTTTGTGTTAAATAATTGATTAAGAGACTACTCGGGGAAAAAAAAACGTAAATGGTATTTAAGCTTGTAATTAACTCTTCTGCTGGAGAAAGGTAATATTGTAATATGAAGCTTTCCACTGTGTGTCTCTGGCGCTTCCGCCTCCAGTTGAACATTGTGTTTCACTCGTCCACAGGCTAACTGGTCAGGGTTCAGGCCGCCGACACAGGTCAGAAGATAGATATTTAGTCAAGAAATACAGCTTTGTTCAACTTGCCTATGTTCACACACGCCTGATGGACGTCCAAGCCCCTCGCATACAAAATCTTCTTTACCCTGTCCTTACAAACTTTCTTCAGGTGACCCCCTACCTCGATTTCTCTCCGCTACCGATTTATTCACCCTTTAATTTATCCTAATTTTCTCCATCCTCTCTAAATGCCAACAACCCCTCCTCAGCCCTCTGGATAATATTTTTAGTAACCCCATCACCTCCTAAACTCCAAGCAACTAATTCTCTGCATAATATTTACACACATACTGCCCTCACACACGACATCTCTACTGCCTCCAGCCTCCTCCCTGTTGTAATATTTACATCCCATGCTTCACACTCATATAAGAGTGACGGTACCACTATACTGTCATTCATTTCATATTTTTGCCTCCATGGATAACGTTCTTTATCACCAGAGACGTCTGAATGCACCACCTACCTTTTTTCTCTCATCATCTCTATGGTTCATCTCGTCTTTCACAGACCCATCCGCTGACAAGGCCACTCCCAAATATCTAAACACATTCACTTCCTCCATACTTCTTCAAAATATGTGTTCCAACCATTGCAACATAGCTCCTGAAAATGCTCAGGCAACAGACTGAAACACCTAGAGCTACAGTTTTCCATACCCTATTGGCTTGTTATGCATAGTTTGCATCGTTTGTTTACGATTATTGTGTATAAATAATTTTACAGCCAATATTTTAAAACTTTCATTAAAAGACTCAAATATATTTAAGTGACTAGCCATTTACTTGATTCATTGCGATATATGTCGTGAATTTCTATATTTAAGTTTTTCAAATTAATATGACTCATTTCTTTCCTAAAATTCTAATTTCATGGGAAGGAGAAATTTTGCTATTGGCGGCTTTCTCTTGGCATCGAGCCCAGATTGCATCTGATCGCTACCTTATAACAGGGAAAATGACCCTCGTTCGGGAGCAAGTTCTGATTCTGTCCTGAAATAAGTCATCATTCTGATTATGACCCTTGACAGGACAGTGTTCATAACGAATATAAGAACAACAGCAACAAAAGTCTCCTCAAAAACAGTGTCTTAACTGAGTAAACAAGTCTTATTCTCACAATCTGTTGCTACACTGTATTTGTACATTATATTTATTACATTATTGTTAACTCTTTTCAGGCAGTGGCTGGTGAGCACGACAAGTCTGTAAATGAAGGCAATGAACAATCGTCAATTCTGTCTAAAATCATTCTTCACGAAGACTTCGATGGATATTACCTGTATAATGACATATCCCTTCTTCAGCTGTCTACGCCTCTTACTCTCAACGAATACGTGGATGTAATTTCGCTTCCCGAACAGGGTCATGAAGCCTCTGGTGACTGCGTCGTCACAGGCTGGGGCGACTTAGAAGAGGGAGGACACACTCCCAATATCCTGCAGAAAGTGACTGTCCCTATTGTGTCAGACAGTGAATGCCGCGATGACTATTCTGTGAAAGAGATTTCTGATTCCATGATCTGCGCTGGCTATCCACAAGGAGGGAAGGACTCGTGCCAGGGTGATTCTGGCGGACCTCTAGCGTGTGATGACGGCGGATTATCGTTATCTAGCTGGCATCGTGTCTTGGGGGTATGGCTGTGCTCGTCCCAACTACCCGGTGTTTACACTGAGGTGGCTTACTTCTCTGACTGGATACAGCTAAGCACTTTGTAAAATCTCATTTAGTATAAAGTTGTAACTGTGTAATACCGATAATGCAAGATTTACAATACTGTGTATCTTCCGGTAGGATGACATTTTCATTGTTAATAAAAAC